AAGAACACTCACTCGGGAATTTGGGAATCTTGATTCATATCCTAGTTCTTCCATTAACTAGTTGAAGGACCTTGAGCAAGTGATTTCATCCCTCTGAATGTGCTTTCTGAATGCGTGTAAAAAGTAATTACGATACTAATGCCTCCTTTGATCACAGCGCTGTGTAGTTAAGCAGACATTTCTGAATGTTATGTTCTGTCATTCTCCCAACAACTCCAAGAAGTGAGTGGGTTAGGTCCCTTATACCCACTTTGCGGTAAGTAAGGCTCAGAGTAAAAGCGACTCGCCTGAGGTTTCAAGGCAAGTTGGTGGCATAGGGTAGACCAAAATCCAGGTTTTCTGATGACAAATTGGTTTCTCTTTACTTCACCATTCTATTCCAAAAATGAGGGAATTCAATTTTAAAGTTGCCTTTGAGTTTAAAATTATGTAGTTTTCCATTTCTCTGGTGTCGCCATCCCGGAGTAACGAGATGTCCCTTACAACCGCGTCTTACTGTGCTTGCTCATGCAAGGCTGCAGAGCTGCCCAAAGGGTGTCTCATTGTCAGAGGCTGAGAGATTGCTTCACTTTCTGGTAACTTCCTGATGAAGCACACGATTTCAAATTAACGAACCAGTCACCATGCATGACGGCAGAGAGAACATAATCACACTGCTGCTGTAAACTCATTCCAGATCAGCTGAGAAAAGATTTCCATTGAGGGGTAAAAAGAGGAGGACAGCTGAAATGGAATTTGTTACTACAGAAGGGTTACAGCAGGGGCCAGATGTTCAGTGGCACAGCTCAAGTCAAATTTTTTTTTTAACATAACATTTTATACCTACTAAAATAAAGATAACTTATTGTACCTTTCCATTAAATCAAAAATATGCATATCCTCATCAATACTTGCCTTCTTTTCCTTTTTTTCTTCTTCTCCTCCTCCCTAAAGCCCCCCAGTACATAGTTGTATATTCTAGTTGTAGGATGGCTTCTTAATTTTGTTAATCTAATGATGTCTCATTACGGTTTTATTTTACATTGCCTGGGTTATTGAGGCTATCTTTCTATATGTTAACTCACCATTTGTGTGTTCTCGTCTATAAAATAACTACTCGTGCCTGCCCATTTTGTCTGTCTTTCTTACTGATATCCAGGAAGTCCTTATATATGCTGGATACTAATCTTCTGTCGGTGGTATAGATTTTAAATTACTTTTCTCAATTTGTCTTTTGTTTTAGGAAGATTAGCCCTGAGCTAATATCTGCCACCAATCCTCCTCTTTTTGCTGAGGAAGACTGGCCCTGAGCTAACATCCGTGACCATCTTCCTCTACTTTATATGTGGGACGCCTGCCACAGCATGGCTTGACAAGCCGTGCCATGTCTGCACCCGGAATCCAAACCGGCGAACCCTGGGCCACTGAAGCAGAATGTGCGAACTTAACTGCTGTGCCACCGGGCCAGCCCCTCAATTTGTCTTTTTTTAATTTCTTTGCATTACATTGTCTTTTGAAGAACAGAAATTCTTAATTTTATTATAATCATCTTTATAGCTTAGAATGCCTTGAGTCATCTTTGAGAAAATTTTCCCCACTCTGAGGTCATAAAGATTTTCTTCTATATTTTTTTCTGAAAGGCTTAAACTTTTGCCTTTTCCATTTAAGTCTTTAATTCACCTGAGAAGGATTTTTGTACACGATGTGAAGTAGGAATACAATTTCATTTTTTCCCATGTGGACCACCAATGGTCCCAGCATGATTTATTGAGCAGTCGTCCTTTTCCCAGTGATCTTCCATGTCACCTCTATCATATATCAAATTTCCATATATGCATGGATCTATTTTTAAGCTATCACATTCCATTTGTCAATTTGTCTGTCTCTCTGCCAATACCATTCTCTCTTAATGTAGCTGCAACAAGCCTTTTATATCTGGCTGGGTATAAATCTCCCTATCTCATTCTTCTTCAGGAGTGTTTTGACCCTTTGTTCTTTCATGTAAATTTAGAATCAGCTTGTCATTTCCTCAAAAAACCTACCAAAAAACTCAAAAACAATCAAACAAAAAAGTAAAATAAAATATATAATATCAAGTGGAAAAGTAAGGTTGCACACTGCATGTTACTTTTTTTTAAGTGTACAGTTCTGTGGCATTGAGTACATTCATCTTATTTTTATACTTTTGTAATTCTTTCAATATTTTCTAACTGGACAATTATATTATCTACAAATAATGAGTTTTGTTTCTTTCTCATCCTTAAATCTTTTCCATTTCGTGTCTTTTTGAGCTGACTAGGAGCTCCAGTACAGTGTTGAACAGAAGTATTGACAGCGGGCACCTGCATGCCCATAAAGCTCCAGATATGCCTTATTCTGTCCCCATCTACTCCTCTCTAATTCCTGAGACCCTTCAGAGTGAAATCACTGAATCCACAACCTCTTCTGAATGTTCCCTTCACTTCACATTTTTTGTGCTAATTTCAAGTCGTGGCTGTGTTTTCTCCCACTGCCCTTGTACCACTGGGCTTGGAGATGGTACAGTATCCCCTGCTCCTCACTGCACACTCTCCTTTCTCCTCCCTAAACCCCCCAGCTCTGAATCTCTTGTCATCAGATTCTATCATCCACTCTCCCTTATTGTCACTGTCATCTATTTGTTCCAGGATCATTTCTCTCCATTTCATGATGAATCTATCTTCTGGTTTATTCTCTTATTCTCAATACTACTCCCTTCTTAATTCTGCTCAACTTCAACATATATGTGGATTATCCTTCCAAATACGCTTGGCCTTTTACTGATTTGAGCTTCTCTCTTCTAAAGATCTTATCCGCACCCTACCTAAACCACTTACTCCCCTGGTAATGTCCCAAGGCCTTGTCAACACTAAAAAGTATTACCCCTCCACACTCTCAGTGTCAGACAAGTCACTCTCTGACCACCCCTCCTATCTTTTCAGCTCTTTCTCTAGCTCCTCATCTTTAATAATCCTTTGCCCTTACCTGGACCTTCAGATCAGGTGATCCTACCATCTTTTCCTTGATGCCCTCTCTTCCCTCTTTACCCAGCTTAAGTTCCAGGCCCATTTGTGGCTATATGCTGGGTTCTCATCTGCTCAGATAACAGGGTCAGGGAAAGGGGAGGTAAGGAGAAGAAGTCTTACAAAAATCTCACAAGCAGAAGGCTAAAATCAGCATAGCAATATTTAAATTAAAAAACAGTATTGTTTTAAGTGAGAATAATTATTCCCTAACAGGTTTCCAGTGTCTTGAAATTTCTACCTCACTACTCTTTTAAAACAATTAAACCAGGTTTAAATTTTAAGGTATAGTTCTAAATACACAGAAGCTCTCTTACGTAACATTTACTTTTTCAACTTGCTGAATGCTCCCCTCTCCCTTGTAAAGCAGATGGACTGAGGCCCACGACTCACCGAACAGGTGAGGCTTACAGGCTCTCCAGAGCATTCATCCCTGCACTTTAGTGCCCCCAGACGGGCTGCATGCTCACCACTGGTCACTGGGATTTGTTCCCAAACTTGCTTGTACTAGTTGTACTTAGGTTTATAATTATACACTTGAGAATATATGAATATGAATGCAATGTGAATAGAAAGCATTTTTCTTTTCTTTTTTTTTTTTTTTTAAAGGAAGATTAGCCCTGAGCTAACTACTGCCAATCCTCCTCTTTTTGCTGAGGAAGACTGGCCCTGAGCTAACATCCATGCCCATCTTCCTCTACTTTATACGTGGGACACCTACTACAGCATGGCTTTTGCCAAGCGGTGCCTTGTCCGCACCTGGGATCTCAACTGGTGAACGCCGGGCCGCCAAGAAGCAGAACGTGCAAACTTAACCGCTGCACCAACGGGCCGGGCCCCTCATTTTTATTTTCTATGAAAAGTAAGTCGAACACTTCAGAAAGACTTGGTAAAGACGCACTGAGTAAACTGCTATTTAATTCGGTGTCAAAGTTTGTGTAAAAATATAAAGGAATTTGCTCTCGGATTTCTTCCCAATTGTTTTTAAGTTCTTGCTCCACTTTTAAAGAAACCAAAACTCTATTATGTGTGTGCTTCATCTAAGAAAGATGATAAATGGCCCCATTCTCAAAGACAGGGCCTTGGCCCTACATCAAAAGAGTAATGAATGAATATTAATGTATTTTAAGGTATAACAAAATGTTTAAAGTAAGAATGTGCTACAGTTTGCAATTTCTTGCTTTAGGTGTTTTTTAAATTAATCGACCCTGTTACAACTGTCTGTCTAGATAAGAGGGCTTCTACTGCAGCTACCACGCACCCCAGACACGATCTCACTTGCATCTCACAACAACTCTGTGAGACACACACCCATTTTACAGACAAGGAAGCAGGCTTGGGGAGGAAAGATGAGGTGGCTTGTCTCGAGTCACATGCCTTATGAGTGAAGCTTTACTTCCTGAGTGCTACAGCAGCCTCTTGGTGGCCAAGGCAGTTTGTGTCCTCCCCAGTCTAACAACAATGAGGGCAATAACAACAACAACGGCTGGCTTTTAAAGGGCACTTACCATGTTCCAGGCATTGTGCTAATAAGTACTTTATACATATCTCATATAATCTCCCCCAAATCCTAGGATCTAGGAACTATTATCTCAACAATCTACAGCTAATGACTGAGGCTCAGAGAGGCAGAGGAATTTGCCTAAGCAGGGAAGCCAGGTTTTGACTCTAGGCACTCTGACTGTAGACTGTGTGCTCTTGACCACGGAACCATACTTCCTCTCATTGTACAGCAGGACTGCACAGACCCCAGGTCACTGCAGCTCCAAGGCTGGCCAAGCTCTGCAGAGCGCAAAGGGCTCAGACAAATCAGAGTTCAGGGTAGCTGATTCAGGCAGGAGAGCCCCTTTCCATACACTGACCACCCAGCCTACCTAGTGAGAGCAGGGAGACTGAATCTAGACAGCACGGGAGCCTCAGAGGCAAGGGAGCAAAAAGGTCAGGACGTCCAACCTTCAAGTGCAGGCTCCAACCACTAACCTTGTAGATGTTTTGTAAGACAAGGTGCATCTTATCAGGGTGAACAGCAGAGAGCACAAATATCAACATGACAACATCCACAGACTCTGGGGGCACATGTTCCAGAAGGTCATCTTTAGTTAGATCACATTGAAATACCTTGCATCTTTCAGCGTCATATAAAGGATTTTGCTAGAAGGGAAAAACAAAACAGAATTTTGACACAACATCCATGTTGATACATACAGAAAAGTACAGCATCAAAAGGAGATCCTAGGGGCCAGCCCTGTGGCTGAGTGGTTAAAGTTCAGCATGCTCCACTTTGGTGGTCTGGGGTTCACAGGTTTGGATCCTGGGCGCGGACCTACTCCACTCATCAGCCATGCCATGGAGGCATCCCACATACAAACTAGAGGAAGACTGGCACAGATGTTAGCTCAGGGCGAATCTTCCTCACAAGGAAAAAAAAAAAAGGAGATCCTATTTCCACTTGTGTACTTCTGCAGAGAAATCCATGATCACTTTTTTTTTTTGAGGAAGATTCGCCCTGAACTAAACATCTACCGCCAATCCTTCTCTTTTAGCTGGGGAAGATTGGCCCTGAGCCAACATCTGTTCCCATTTTCCTTTATTTTTTATATGTGGAACGCCTGCCACTGCATGGTTTGATAAGTGGCGCCTAGGTCCGTGCCCGGGATCCCAACCGGCAAGCCCTGGGCTGCCAAAGCACAGCATGTGAACTTAACTGCTATGCCAACAGGCCAGCCCTCAACAATCACATTTTTACTGGGTAAAACAGAGTAATGAATCATTTGCATACTAAAGCATGTAATATTCAACATTGCTACATGGGTAAGATTTCATTTTAACAAATCATGTGCAACTGAGGAGAGAACACAGTTATTACATATTCAAAACTGAGCCTTTTAGAAGCGTATATTTCCAGAGGGATGATAATCCAAAACTGGCCTCTGCTTCCTTAATCCTCCTTTGAATCATCCATTACAAGCCTAAATCCTATGGGAAGTCCTTCCAACTCCTCTAAGATGCTCCCACAGTTATTCCAGGTAGATTTTCCCTTGATGCAGCATATACCTAACTTTTACTACAAGTGTGTTTCTGGTACATTTCGGTTGGTGGGTTTCGACACATATATAAAAGCATTATGAAGAAAAATATTAAACTCTCCATTAATGTAAATAAGGACTTGAATAAATAGAGACATATAAAGTTAGAGGATGGGAAGATTCAATATTGAAAAGATGTCAATTCTACCTATCGTTCCACTTATAAATCCAACGCAATCTCAATAATCCTAACAGATTTCTAGGAACTTAACAAAGCGAATCTAATTTATCTGGAAGTGAAAATCTTTAGAAATAGCCACGTCAATTTTTAAAATGAAGAACAATGAAGGAGGAGGTACACTACTAGACGTGAAAACACTACAGAATGCAGTACTACAGCAATGTGGTCTGAGAATGGGGACAAATAGATCACTGAGACAGAATGGAGTCCCCCAAACACACCCACGAATATAGAGGAATTTAGTATTGTATATGACAAATGACAGGTGACAAAGATGACAATTAGATTAAAAAAGCGAGATAATAAAGGTGACAATTATCAGGGAGGAAAAATGAATTTCTCATTCAATTTATAGTGTTTGAACAACTAGCTATCCAGATGAAAGGACAACTGGCCACGCAGACAAATGAAAAGACTGCCAGTTTCAGCTCAGAGATGTACAGAGGTGGAAAAAATGTAGCTCCCATCCTTATAACAAGAAAAAAGCTCGACAGCAAAGCAATGACTTTTTTGTGAACTCGTCGAAGAATAGAGATCAAACAACAACCAGCCATCCCAAAATCTGGAGAGAAACAGGTGTCTTCAGGGAGAGACAGGATGCAAGCATTTACTTACAGGAGACAGAAGCTTCCAGGTTGGAAAGATAAAACTAGATATGTGAGAAATCCCTGGAAACTGAGTGTGGATGTTACAGTGTGAAGCTCCTGGGGGCTGAAATCATAGAGATGTTTCCACCCATTTGCAGGTGTTTTCACCAGGCTCTCACAGAGAGGATGCTGCTCTTTCTGATGTTGGCCTTTCTCATCTCTTTTAAGGAAGAAAAGGTTTAATCCAAAGGGGAAAGGTCATTTGAGGTCTTGAGCCTTAGGGCACTGGTAGAATGCCGGTGCTGCTGGTTGAAGGGAACTCCTCTGCTCAGATCTAGTCTGAATCTGCAGGGAGAATGGCCTCAAGACCACAGAGGACGACACTGGTGGAGACCTCCTACAGCTGGGGGAGGGACAGAAGAGAAAAGCTCTATTCCTGGAGAGGCAGAAACACTTGTGAAAGCCACACCCGAGACACAAGTCCACTATACAATTCAAAAACTGAGAATCAGAATATTAGAGAACACCTCCCTCTTCCACACCCTACCAACAAGTCTCTAGTAATAGTAACAGTGGATTGCAGCTGAGAGAGCTGCAAGAGACAGACTCCACGTGGAACAGCACAAAGGGAAGACTGAAAGTCAAGAGGAGAGACAGAAACCAAGTCACTAGAGTTTGAAGTCTCTGGTGCCCATAGCAACAACAAACCTCACAGGTAACTATAGCAACAACAGACTTCAAACACAGCCCAACTCCTGACTAGATTATTACAAATCCTCATTACCTCAGTATCCACAGCCATACATAACATATCTGGCTTTCAACAAAAAAGTACAAGACACAGCAAAAGGCGAGGAAAAACAGTCTGAAGAGACAAAGCAATCATCAGAACCAGTGTCAAATATGGCACAATTGTTAGAACTACAAGTTTGGGCATTTAAAATAACTATGATTAATACGTTAAAGGCTCTAATAAAAAAGGTAGACAACATGCAAGATCACACAGGTGATTTCCGAAGAGAGATAAAAACTACAGAAAGAATCAACTGGAAATGCTAAAAACCAAAAACATCCTAACAGAAATGAACAATGCTTTTGACAGGCTTATCAATAGCAAAACCTAGTGTCTGAGAAGGAATCAGTGAACCTGATGTTACGACAACAGAAATTATACCAACTGAAAATGCAAAGAGAAAAAAAGTTAAAAACAAAAAGATCCAGCATCCAAGAGTTATGGGACAATGGCAAACGGTGTAACATACACATAATCGGAATCCCAGAAGGAGAAGAACAAGAGCTGAAGAAATATTTGAAGAAATAATGACCAAAACTTTTCCAGATTAATTTTAAAAAATAACCAAAATTATAAAAAGAGTATATAGGTGATTACTGAGCTCCTAAATGAGACATAGAACCTCAGCATCTCAAAAGGAAAAGAGAAATAAATTTGATGTAATTTAAATCCTGTCATAAAACACCACCATAAAACAGCACTGAATAAACTGGAAGAAATGCTTGCAACAAAAATAACAGAATACCCAGAATATATCCTAAAAATAAGAAAAAAATTGACAGAAAAATGGGCAGAGGTTATGAACAGATGAATCTGAAAATAACAGAAGTTCCATGTAAGTGAGGACTTTCGTCTGTTTTGTTCACTACTTAATCCCAGAACTTAGAACGGTGATTGGCACACATTAGGCTCTCAATAAATATACGTGGAATAAAGGAACTCACAAGTAGAAGAAAAACTAATGCTTATTCACATATTACTAAGTTTTCAACCTCTCTGGTTACAAGGAATAAACAAATTAAAATATGGAGACATTATTTTTTGCCCATAAGATTGGGAGATATAAAAAAGACTGATATCAAAAATGTTCAGGACATAGAAAAAAGACATCTTTATATTATTGATGAAATTATAAATTGGTATAATTTTCTGGAAGGAAACTTGGCATTATCTATTAAAATTTAAATGTATATGCTCTTTCTCCAAAGAATTCTACTTCTCCCATTATTTGCCATAGAGAAATGGGCACACGTGTTTTGGGGAGCAGGTGTATAATGCTGATTACACTGACCCTAACTGTAAGGGCAAAAAATTAGAAATGATATAAACAAATATTAACAGGGTAATTGTTAAAAGTATGGTATATCCATTCTATGGTGTACCACAACAAGTAAATAAAATGTGGCAGACTCACATGTACTAAGATGGAAAAACTCTGTAAGATATAAGGTAAAGAAAGTAAGTTATAGTACAATGTGACACCACTATTAAAAAAAAAGTCTAAGGATGCTAAAACTGTGAAAGGTTGATGGAAAACTAGATATATGCATGTTGCCAAAGTATCCCCCATATATTTGTTACAATGGGAAAATATTTGTACAATGAAGGAATTAGGTCGTTACTACTTTAACTCAGTGATTAAAATTAGTAACTCTTATAGTGAGATTACCAGACAGGATGCAATATGAAAGATACATCACTTATTAAAGTATTTTTGCCGAAAGGATTTCACCTGATTTAAATCTAACTTCTAGTTTTCAGGAAGTACAGGGGATAGAGGAACAAGTTAAACAATGATACAGAGAAACAATCAGACCAAATTGGAATTTGGGACCTCATGATAGAAGATGGCTTCTTCTTCAAAAACTCAAGGTCAGTGGGGAAACAGGTCAAGGGGTAGGGCAGGAATGTTTTAGGCTAAAGAGATTTAAGGTACATAATGAAGTGTAAGATGTAGTCCTTGATTAAATACTGTAAAAAACTCCTGGGACTATTCTGGGAAATCAGAATCTGGACTGGGTGTTAATCACATTAGGGGATTAGAGTTATTTTTGTTAGATACGATAACTGTATTTGGTCATCTGGAAAAACTTTTTATTTTTTGAAAACGTACGCAGACATAGTTAGGAGTGAAGTGTCTTGATATCTGTAATTTACTTTAAAACAGTTCAGCAAATAAAAAAAGTCTATAAAGCAAAAGCGGCAAAATGCTGGCAATCATTAAATCTGGGTATAAGTACATGGGTGGTGTTATAGTATTTCTTTCTACTTTTCTGAATAAAGCTGTGCTTCTATGTGTACTATGTGTATGTAAACAGGAAAACTATATTCGTGGTGATCACAGCTGGTTAGCTTCAGGGAGAGGAGTGGAACGGGGCAAATGGGTAAAGAGGGCAGGTCAAACAAGTCCAAGAAAACAGAAAAGTAACAGAATACATGGATGGTGCACCAACCTTGACATACTCAACTGCCCTTGGAGAAAAATCACAGGCATAGGCAAAGATATTCGGATCTTCTTCTAAAAGTGGAAATAAACAGTTCCCAACCCCGCAGCCAGCTTCAAGCATAGTCAGTTTTTGATCTTCAAACTGAGGAAAGAGAACCCAAAGTTACCGTACACTGCATTTGCATCATGAAGAAACAAAGCAAACTAAAAGGTCCACATGAGAGACAAGGTCTCTGTCCCCATGGAGCAGAGAATAAACAAGTGAACGAATAACCAAAAGTTAACACTGATATTTCATGTGTTGTCCGACATCGGGCAGTCTGGTGTGGAGAAAACACAGCATCATGGCTAACAGAAGAGGCTCTCGGGCAAAACTGCCTTCACTCAAATCCGGACTCCTCCCCTCGCACCCGGGCTCTAGCCTTGGACAAATCACTTAAACAGCTTCGTGCCTCAATTTCATCTGCAAGTAGGGACAACAGCAATGCCTACGTCACAGTGTTATTAGAAGGCTTAAAATTACAGAACACATGTAAAGTTCTCGAAAAGGGCCATGGTAAAGTGTTCATCATCATTATTACTACGAATGTGAACCTGTCACTGAAGTCACTCAGCATGAATTTAACATTTACAACTTTCAGACTCGATTCTAAAGAAACAGAAAATGCCCACTAAAGTTCTGTCTCCGATGTATTATACAACTCATGAACTGCTAAAGCTACTTGAGACCACACAGCATATTTCCCTCTAAGGTACAAAGCATTTTGACAGGCTTCATAAATGCTCCCCATAGGAATGCAATAAAGCACCCCGCTTCTACACATTTTAAATGAAGAACAGCTCCAATGAGGTGTAACGTTAGCTCACCTCTCTACATGCTCTGAGCTCCTCAAACTCTCTGGTGGTCCAGTGTCTATCCTTGAAGAAATTAGTACTATTTCTTTTGTAAAAAAGGTCCCAGTTCTTCTGAGCCTCTTTTTCCAGTTTTTGCTGTTTAAAATCAGACACTAAAGCTTGGTCTCTTTTCAGTTTCTCCTCTTCTTCAGAGCTGAGGATCCTGGCCTGCGGCCCTTTCCTTTGCAAAGAAGCCATCTCCTAAGTAGATGGTAATACATTAACACTGCCAAAGATTCTCCATCCCCGAATAACCAGAGGAATTCAAGTTGATAATGCAGACACAGACAGGGTTCTCTCAGATGCGCTTCCTCAGGTTGGGTTCACGCCTCAGGCAGCATTGGCTGCTTCCAGGAAAAAGAGATTCTGGTTAGTGGTTCTGGAACAGTTCTTTAAGATGCTGAGTTGGTGGTTCTAGAACAGATCTTTCACCAAACAGTTCAATTCACCAAACATTCACTAGATGCTGACTCTACACAAAACCCTGCGCGCTATACAAGGAGAGGTCACAAAGAGGACCGAGACGCAGCCCCTACTTTCAGGTTTCCATTCAGTGCCCAAACTCTCATGCACCTAACTCTAATCCAAACCAGCTTGACTCAACTATTAAAAGAAACCGGTTTCACTCAGAAAAAGGTCATTCCCAAAGAACTGACTGAGAAACCTTGGGGAAGAAATACTCATCCATTTTCGGTGCCAGCGAAAGGGGTGACTTAAAAACAACCACAAGGGCTGCCTGAACTGGAAGCGGGTGGTCAACTGCCAGACTGAAGTGGGTCATCGCTGCCTAAGGATGGGAGACTCCGTTTTTTCGGGGAAGACGTAGCGACCCCGGGCTGCGTGAGTCTCTGATCGCACGCACAGGAGCTGCCTGGCGAACCAGAGGGGGAGTCGCTTTCCAGAGAATGAGGCCCTCACACCGCCACCACGGCGCGAAGGGGAAAAGAGACCCAGCGTCGCGTGGCGTAGGGTCCCAAGGACCCACCGTCTCGGGACCCTCGGGATAAGCTAGGGCCCCGGGCCGCGGGGGACTGTGGAGGGCCGGCCGGCCTGGCTCCAGCCCCACGTTAGTCTGGTCCGCCGCGCTCTGGGCTCACCGTCATCACTTCCTAGCTTCAGCTCGAGGGCGAGGGCCGCGCGCACTCGGCCTCAGCCAGGCCCCGGCCACGGAAGCAGGACCGGGGAGCCGCCGCAGGGGCACCCTGAGCCAGGACAGGCCAGCGTCGAGACCCCGGCGCCGAGAAGCTCCGGCCGAGTTCTTCCCTCATGGCCCCGCCCCCGCCACTTCCGCTCCGGACCCAGAAGTCCCTCCCCAGCGCCGGAAGTGCCGCGGCCTGGCTTCCGCAGAGTGTTTCCGCAGCCCGACGCGGAGGAAGGGGTTTGCTACCGGCCCCGGTTGGCCGCCGGCTGGGCTCGCTGTGCGTTCCGGAGCCGTGTCCGGGGAGCTGCGTCCTACCGGACGCCGGCGCCGGAGGCTGGGGCCGCGGCCGCGCCCGGAGAGCGCCGGTCCGGGCGCGAGGCCGGTGCGGGGCCATGAACGGGACCGCGAACCCGCTGCTGGACCGCGAGGAACACTGCCTGCTGCTCGGGGAGAGCTTCGAGAAGCGGCCGCGGGCCTCCTTCCACACCATTCGCTGTAAGTCGGCGCTTCCCGCTGTCCCCTTCTCCGGCTCAGCCGCCTCTCCCACCCGCGCTGCCTCCTTTCCTCCCTCGGCCCTCCCGAGTCCAGGGTACCGGTGCCAACGTCAGCTCCCTTCTCCCTTAGCCCGGATCCTCCGGGACCTCAATTCTTGCCCTTTTTTTTTCAGCTTACTCTTCCCAAACCAAACGTGTCGTCACTCCCAACTCTTCTGCCTTGTCTCAAACTCTTCTTGCGAAGGTCATTGGCCCGTTTCTTCTTCATTCCCCCACCCAGCTCTTCCTTATGCCCGACCTCCCCCCTCTTTATTACTGAAAGACTGTGACCCCGCATCAGACTCCAGTTCTTCTGTCTCTACTCCATCACCTCTCTGATAACCCACTGGGGTTCTCCACATTTACAGGACTCCTGTTTGCTCCTGAGCCTCATCCACTTCCTCCTATTCCATTCTCTTCTTCTATTTCCCTAGCTTTCTTTCCTCGCCGTCTTGATTCTGGCCACCCTGACACTGCGCTTCATCCCCTCTGCAGCCAGAGAATCTGCATCCTCACTGCGCCCCAGCGGAGTCTCCCTCCATCTGCTTTGCGTGCCTCTTTTGACTTTGATGTCTTTTGAGGTTGCCTATAGTACCCTGCCTTTGCCTCAGCACCAAGTCCCTTGTGGATGAAGAATAAGATCAGAATTTGTGAGCCTGGAATAAGTTAAAGCTTGATCTATGTTTGGAAGCAGTAGAGAACAGGCAAGGAATGTCAACATAGTTATTATGCTGAACCTTCTTTTTCTGCATGATTACAGTCTCTGTGGAGGGAGGGCGCTTCCACTCTATGTCCTGGGTAAAGATTTGGCTGTTAGGAATTGGCTGACTGAGCATCCCTCTGTGATTCACAGGCTCCTGGTTTCCCTCTTGGTAGCCCTAATTCTGGTTGAGACTTGTTTTTGTGAAAGGAGCTAGTAGATGTGACTCAACACATTGGAAGAGGGTGTGTTAAATAATGAAGTTCCATCTTTGTGTGGTCACTTGCCATGCCATTACTGTGCTTCCTACTGACAGCAGATCAGCTCTTTCAGAGGGAGGCTATTGGGAATGTGATAAGAGCATCATTTCTTGAACAGTTTACTAAGTTGATGTTTTAGTAGAGTGAAGGGCAACATGGGATTTAAGTGAGACCCTTCACATATGCACCTGGCCTGCAGTTTGAGGCAGGTGTGTGTGAAAAGGGAGTAAGATGGCTGTTCATGTTGTACTTTAACTGCAATTCAGAAACATGGGCGCAGTTAGCCTTTGGAGATACAGCTCACCCGTCTGCCCTGAACATCTACAGGGTGTAGCTTTGGTAAAGCTGTGGAACTTGAGTGTGGCAAATCCTAATTTTGACAGTTCTGTGCAAAATGAAATCAGCTCATATGATGCTGTGGCCTTGCGTATTTCACATAGGGTTTTACAATTACAGAATCTTTTTAATATGCTCGGTTGCTTTTGATCCTTACAACAACGCTAATAAAAGACCTTTTTATGGCTAATAAGGCATTAATTTTCATCTACACTTAGGGAAGGGGAATGTCTTTGCTTAATAAAATGGTATATAAATTTTAGCTTCCCCGCCCCCAAAAAAATCCAGTGGGGATGAGAGAAGTATGTGGAGGTATAGATGAAATACGATTGTCCAAGAGTTGGTAATTATTGAAGCTGGGTGATGGTACACAGGGGCTCATTGTACGATTCTCTCTGTTTTTGTATATGTGAAGTTTTCCACAATGAAATAGTTTTTTAAAAATTCTAATTTACTAGTGTTTTCCATTTACCTGAGTGATAAAAAAATTTTAATTCTTAAATGAGAATTCCCAGGAAGCCCTTAGTATAAGTAACCAGGTGGATAAATGCTGTTTTTCCTTTCTCTTTAGATGACTTTAAGCCAGCATCTATAGACACTTCCTGTGAAGGAGAGCTTCAGGTTGGCAAAGGAGATGAAGTCACCATCACGCTGCCACATATCCCTGTAAGTTTATTCCTTTGTTGTTGTTGTTTTTAATGTGGCATCAGAGTGATTTGTCATATTCTGTTATTGCAATTTTAATTTCCACTGTTTAAAAATTTCTAGATTTCGAAGCGCCAACATAAGGAAAAATAGAATTTTCCGAGGTAGGGTGGGATGGAATTAATGCTTCCCAGATGATTAAATAAAAAAATGATTCTTTGCCATTTTCCCCAAGCTCCCATTTGCCCATTTGCTACAAAGTAGACAGGTTCCTATCGGGACACCTAACCCCTCCTTTAGACATGCATAGCTTTTCCCCCAAGCAGCTCCAAAGAGAAGAGCCCTAGGTGCCCTGTTGACGTACGGCAACAACAGTTCAGGAGTGTGGGCCAGCCAGCCAGGGTGCAGGCAGGCACGCAGGACAGGATTGACATCTTATGTATATCTGGCAAGGGGTGAGGTGCAGCTGATAGTTTCAGGCAGGAACCAGAAGTTTAGAGCATTCAGCTAATTTAGGGATGAGGAACCCAGTTAAAAGCTGAATTGAGAACCCTTGCAGAGGGAGGCTTTTTTGAAGCCTTGCCCAAGGTGGCACTCTGATCACAAAGCCCGAGGGATCAGACAAAATACGCTTACGACCATGTGTCATTGCATGTCACAGCCCTGTCCTGGAGCCCAGGAAATTCTTGCTAACTGGTGATAGAATGGAAAGGCTCTGGACGGGGGACCTGGGAAGCTTTGTGCTGAGGAGACTTACTTGTCTGCCAGTTCAAGCTGCTCTTTCATTACCTGTTGCCTCTGGCAGGTTACATCATCTCTCTCTGGACCTTAGTTTCCCAAATGTAAAATGAAAGGGTTGGATAAATGGTCCCTAAGGTCGCTTCCAACTCTAAATTTTTACCGTATGAATAAGGAGTCAAGGAGCCAAGCAGTTTTTGATTCTATACAGGGGATTAGATCCTGTATTTGGCAAATATTAATTGAGTATCTACTGTGTGCTGGCCCATTACTAGGCAGGGAGAATACAATCTTGAACAAAACAAGCACATTTCTTGCTCTTGTGGAGCTTATGGTCTGGAGTTTAAATAAATACAAGAAAACATAGCACTTGTTTTAGAAAATCAAGGCTTCCCTCAGGCAGTGAGCTTTGAGCAGATTTGAAGCATGAGTAGTTAAAAGAGAGGGGCAGGATGTTGCAGGCAGAAGCCTTGTTAAAGCCCTGCGAGAAAGACCTTGAGGGTCTGAGAGAAGGCCAGCCCCCTTCTGCTCTGGAGCCTGCAGAGCGAGGGGGCGAGTGGTGCAGGTGAGGCTGAAGGGCCGGCTGGCTGCTTTGAAGATTTTGTCTTTGGCCTGAGAGCAATGGGATAGCGAGTGAAGGGCTTTGGCAGCTGAGTGGTGGCACGATGTACGTACTCTGAGCTAACCAGAATGGTGAGCTCCCCTTGGGGAATGTTCTGTTGTTTACTTGGCATGAGGGGGAAGCCCTGGACCCTCCACTTACAAGGAAATATAGCGATCACTCACTAGTTTTACTTCTCATAATGAAAGCTCTACTCAGTGTCATACAAGTAATGGTTACTTTCTTTTTCTCAGTTCATACTTTACCATTATTTGTAACATTTCCTGAAGCCCTGGAAAAATGTACAGTAATATAACCGTTCTTGATTTCTTAGAACCAGTTGAACCGTCAGATTCTTGCTATAGTATCATTTCCCCTTTCTTTATTTTTGCCTGGGAAGTCAGAGAGAGTTAAAATACCAGTCAGTTATTCTATCCTTTTTCAGTCGCTCTAATTTGGTTTGATGAGGTAGATCTCCTGTAAATTCAGTTTTGATATTCATAACTGGTGTGTGTAGTTTGATCATCGTACTCTTTTGTGGCATATAGGGATCCACACCACCAATGACTGTGTTCAAGGGGAACAAACGGCCTTATCAGAAAGACTGCGTGCTCATTATTAATCATGACACTGGGGAATATGTGCTGGAAAAGCTCAGTAGCAGCATTCAGGTCAAGAAAACAAGGTATGTGAATAATCAGATACAGATTGATGTTTCTATATCTTTGCATTATCTGTTCAGTTATTTTATAAGGATGCGAGCATCTGGGTACTCAGTGTCCTGTCAACAATCTCAGCAAATCCATCTGTGTCTTCTCACACAGATCAATAAAATATCTTTTCCTCAAATGAGATAAAAAGAAATAATCTTTTAAGACCTGAAACGTGGAAGCCATTGGGGAAAGGGCCTTACTTTATAGTTAAATCAATTCTGTTAATCTCAAGATTGTTGGTATAGTACCACCTAAGGGATAAAGTTTAAGTTTACAGACTTATAATTATGAAAGAATAATTGAATAATATATATTCTTGATTAGAGTGAAAACATTAATTTTTTACAAGATATATTTGAGGTCATTATAATACCAAAATAAAACTTTGCCAATTTTTTGGAATAGTGAGCTCTCTTTAACATTTAATTTAACAGGCATTACACAGCTAATATGAAGCCAAGGAGATTTTATTTTAAAGACAAAAATTCATGCTACAAGTAGAAGTAACCCAGTGGTTCTGTTACATTGTGATACAGCAATTATTGTAACATAGTAATTAAGTTTTAAAGAGAGTGGTATAGCCTTATGTTTTTCTGTTTATGCT